CAGCAGCACAATCAAAACTAAAACAAACCCTCGGTCGGTGCATTAGCACAAAAGCTACAACATGAGAAGTTAAGTTATGTCAGATGTTAATCAAAAATAATTATTGCACTATTTTTGACTTCTTCACAAGGTCAGACACGGAGGACATACAGCATGGCCGTGCACTCCATTTCAGGTGAGTGAGATATTTATAAAGTGTCTTCTAGAAATAAATACGAACATAACAGCTAACAGTAATATCCTTTCTGTGAGCGCATGAACATTGCAGATCAACCTGTCTGAGAGCTGAACCTTTATGAAACCATGTCACAATCTATAACATGATCATATAATATGTTTAAACTATTTAAACGGGGAAAAGTCGTGGTCAGGTCCTTTTACAGGGAGCGAGTGAAAGACAGAAGGAGAGGAAAAGAATTCTGAATGCTCCTTTCATACTTCCGTTCGACGTCATGATTTAATTGTGACGTAATAAAGGAGCGTTCGGAATCAGCCGCCAACAGAAATAACCCATGTTAGATCTCTTACTATTTTACAGGGAATGTTGTGGCAAGCTGTTCAAATGTTTAGAATGCATATGAAATATTTTAAATGTTTTCACTGTTATCTGTCGAGTATTAGCTATTTTGCAGTAAAGATAGCTAATACATGAAGCCAGTTCATTTAGATTTTTGTTGTAACGACTAACTCAGATAAAATCATAATAAATACACATAAATGAATGAATACAAGCTTTCGGTTTTGCTTAACGGGTAATTTTTATATAGCCTACCGAAATCGAGAAGACAAAAATCATAACAATTTTTTGTTGTTAAAAAAATAGTTATAAGCATATAAAACGTTGTCTTTTGCGTTTTTAAACAGAAATAAACCTGAAATCTAATAACGTTTTAAAACGTTTTTGCAATTTAACAGAAACGAAAAATATAGCCTAAACAACATCTGAAATGTTGTCTGGCAAAAGAAACAACTGATCATCTCTGTCTCAAATATTTGTGTGTGTGACAAAAATGTGCCAAAATTACGATAAAGACTAATATTTTAAGCTATGACCGAGCTGTGAAAATTAAGACACTGCATTTTTTAATTTTTTTTGAAGATCTCTATTTTAACTCTTCAGTTTATCATATAGTGCACATAAAACTGTTTTTAAAATGAATCTGACTATAGGTCAGAACTGTTTTAAAAACGAATTATAATTCGAATGTTTTGTGTGTTTTGAATAGAATACGTCCTTACCGTATAATGAAACCTCAGTTGTATTGGTCTTTGTAAGAACAATTGATTCAGCAGCAGCCTTCACATGTAAAACTGAGAATATCCTCCCCTCATACTTGATATTTACCTCTGATTATTATCCAATCGGTTTAAAAAACGGTCGAGTTTGTGTTGGCTTCGGTGGATAATTTTGGAGAGATGGAGGATTGAACGAATGCAGCATTAAACCAAAAGAAAGGAGAAGAGCTGGCTGTGAAAATTAAGACACTGCATTTTTTTATTTTTTTTGAAGATCTCTATTTTAACTCTTCAGTTTATCATATAGTGCACATAAAACTGTTTTTAAAATGAATCTGACTATAGGTCAGAACTGTTTTAAAAACTAATTATAATTCGAATGTTTTGTGTGTTTTGAATAGAATACGTCCTTACCGTATAATGAAACCTCAGTTGTATTGGTCTTTGTAAGAACAATTGATTCAGCAGCAGCCTTCACATGTAAAACTGAGAATATCCTCCCCTCATACTTGATATTTACCTCTGATTATTATCCAATCGGTTTAAAAAACGGTCGAGTTTGTGTTGGCTTCGGTGGATAATTTTGGAGAGATGGAGGATTGAACGAATGCAGCATTAAACCAAAAGAAAGGAGAAGAGCTGAATAAACTCTGTGAACTCTATTGACAACTATGCGTTTTCTCAGGGGTTCGGCTGGGTGGGGGGTGGGTGAGGTGAAGGTATGGCGGATCCGAACTGCTCAATACATCCAAACAGACCCTCCAATCTGTTGGTTTTGTAGCACAAATCACCTCTGTAAACCTTCTGCTGCAAACTCACTTTACTAATGGGTTAAACTGGGATCTTGTCTCCTAGCAGTGTTGACAAGATGATGTCAATTGAATTAACTGTATTTAAGCTTAAATGAATATTTTTATATTCACTTTGGAGGGAAAGTCGAAATAAATGGCTAATCTGAAGACCCAAGGGAGTGTTTTGGGGTTCATCTTATTCAGTATGTGTTTGAAAGTTCTTGTAAGTGAAATTCAGTTGTTGTTTTTTGTTGCTTATTTTGCATTATTTACTTAGTTTGCATTTCAATAGCACCTATTTGCATAGTCCTGATTTAAAAGATAATTTCACATGTGGGAAACATTCTTCTGGTGTTTGATTATGAGTTTGGATGTGAAGAATCAGTGTCTAAACTTTGCTCTGACAGAGAGCAAAAGTTTGGTTTGTTTATTTAAAAAGAAAACAAGAGATCTTTCAGACCTTACACTTTAAAAGTTTAACTCTTTGCTAATCAAAAAAAAGTTTAACCCTGGCTAATGAACAATTCAGGATTGAAACAATTAAAATGTTAAGCAATATTTATGGATTTAGTGTGTATTACTGTTTAATCTCCTTTATGCACAATTTTACATGTCAATTGAATTACAAAAGTATTTTGTCATGGCTTTAATTTAAACTTAATGCATTCATGACTGTTAGCATAATCGATACTTCTATGTGGATTTAGGGAAGTTTTTAGAGTGTTGTTATTCAGTCCAGCAATAAACTCAACAAGTCAAAATCAATTAACATTTATATGTAATAGTATTCATTGGAAATGTATATAAATAACAAGTTTGAATAACCTGCTGATGAATTACGCCTCGCTTTTGCTTGTTTTATTTTTCTAAACTCTACACTCACAAGCATATTTTTACCTCAGATCAATATTCCTGAGTGCTGTTGATTTAAATGACTTTCTGAAGTCACGCGGACCCGTTTTGCGTTTCCAGTAGCTAGACATAAACCACCGAGTATCATCTTTATTTATCTGTCTGTCCTGGAACTTATTCGATGCTTGCGGACTTGAACGGGATCAAACGGGGACATTTAGGGTGTGTCCGTGACCTCGTTGGACGTGTTTCCCGGAGCTCGCGGGGCCGTTTTATGAATGGTAATGATGGGAAACCCTCGTGCAGGAAATGAGAAACTCCATATCATCTGACACCGGTGACCAGATCCGTGACCTGCGCCGTAATGGCACGACCACCATCCATCTCTTCCACACACCAGCAAACACACACACAGCATCTCCGACAGCAGAACTGGTGCAGGGATTGGGGGCAGGGGTGAATTCCGGAGGGTGGTCGGCATGGATGCGTGGGGGTGGGTGAAATGGGCGGAGCGTAGAAGCGGTGGGGGTAGTTGTTAATTCACTCCTCCAACGTGTTTTTCCTCTGACTCAAAGACAGAGAAAAACATCCTCTGCCAAGGCATCAGGTTTGATCATGAGCTTGTCAGAAACGTTTACTGTACGAATGTCTTGTAGAAACGGAAACATCACATTTTTATAACAGGAGACAATTATTTCACATGCCAATTTTCCATTAGCCTAATCTTTGCATTTCAACTTGTTGGTTTAATGCACATTTGATTAGTTTTTTTGTTTGTTGAGTAGGCTACTGTTCACTCAGATAGCTCCAATTCAAAAGAACACAATACGCACAGAAACAGAAAAAGTATGTGAAAGTATGATTGCATTTCATCCGTTCCATATTTTCATTTTTAGAACATTCCATTTAGGCTATATGGGTTACATTTTGGGTTCATACCAATGTGTATGTTTACCATGTTTTATCATGTTTGATCTTTTCATGAATCAGCAGATCATGTAGTTTGGAGGCTATATTTATATTTATAGCCTATACTGTTGCAATACACGTAGGCTATATTTTACGCCTTCATGTTTGTTCTTTCTAGATGTTCATTGATGTAGGTATCATCATGTAGGCTATATATTTTCAAGTGCGCAAAGCTGATGTAACCCAGAAAAAAATCCATGTGTGTGAGGACTTGGTCAATAAAGATCTTCTTATTCTAAATCAGTCTCATTGACGTTTGTACTGCAGCAAACAACAAATGCAAACTGCAGTGTGCTTCAACAAACGATAATTAGCTAGTGATCTCATTTCTCCCGAACTATAATATGGAATGTTTTGGAAACGTTTAAACAAAAGCAGAAAGACAGCAACAGCAACAGAACAAACATATTTGTAGTAAATTTGAAAGGAAACCAAATGCGTGCATAAGACACGTTTCCGTCTTTTTGCTTAATTACATAAAGGTTTAACATAAAACAACTTTACATAATAGGCTACGACGCTTATTAGTCTAGCCTACAGTTTAATGGAATAGTAGGCTACACTTCTAGAAAAAAAAATCTACTACCCTCTGTATAAAGAGATACATTCTGGAAAACTTTTGTTGTTGCATTTCGCTACAACAAGCGAGTGTCATACAATATTTACTTTCATAAGACTATAAAGTATTATGACTGGTTACCAGCGGTTGGAATTTGGTTACATAACGCATCATTAAAATTGTTACATATATATATAAAAAAAAAATAATAATAATAATAAAATGCTGGACTTTTTATGGTCTCTCGAATGATTTACGGAACACGCACAAAACCGATTTTAGACGTCATAACACGCGTTAGAAAACTGAGCCTGATGCTTTTACGTGACGCAGCTGTAGAGCTGAAGTCCAGCCCGGTTCCGAGTCCGCTCCCTCTCCCGGGATCACGGAGGAGTCACGTGTGCAGCGCTGTGCGCGAGAGAGAGAGAGAGAGAGAGAGAGAGAGAGAGAGAGAGAGAGCGAGTGCGCGAGGGGGGGAGAGAGAGAGGGGAGAGGAGATGTTAAAAGAGACATGAAAAAATATACAAAATGCGGCGCTGTTCGAGAGAGAGAGAGAGAGAGAGAGAGAGAGAGAGAGAGAGAGAGAGAGCGAATGCGCGAGGGAGGGAAAGAGAGAGGGGATAGGAGATGTTAAAAGAGACATGACAAAATATCCAAAAAGGAGACGCACGCCGTACCATGCGCGCTAAATTTGTGCCCGCTGGAAATCGGGATGTCGGATCGACGGTGACGCGTATCACCCCATTTCACGGAGGAAACGATTTCGCTGGAACTTTGGAACGGAGGGTCCGCGGGGAAACATGGCCGAAGGTTACGATGCTTTTTTTTAACATCTCTTTTCACGCGTACTCATATTGTCCACCGCGTTTTTTTACGTTGTTTGTACGTGTGATGAAGAGCCGTTTGAGCCAGCTGTAGTGGGGGGTGGGGGGGTTTGGGGGGCGGGTAACGTATGCACACCTGCCCCACGCCAGGCGGTTCACATACGGTAGATGTGCAAGAAGTTACATAGTGTAGCTACTAACTAGGCACATTGAGCAATAGCTATGCTCTGCGCCATCCCATCTCAAGTGTAGCTCTACTTTTCATTGAGTTTCTCTAGTTTTCCAGAGGGTGGGTTGTAGACAAGGGTGTAAGATTATATACAAGGTTAAGGCACCGAAATTTAAAAGTTTAACAGTATGTCACTGAAAACCCCCATATATTAATTGATTATAAAGAAACGGGGGCATCTGTAGTGGTGGTTACGGCCCTGGCTGAAGACACATCTTTGCATTGAATGCATGTTGTTGAGTAGTAGTTGGGGGATTTCCCTCAGAAACGCTGCCCACGCAGACCCACGGTCATTGTGTACACACCTAGAACAAAGTATAGGCTACATCTCAAACATCAGCGCACAACATCATAGGCTTTTCTCCCTTGACCGCACAGGAGGGCCGCGCAAAGGTGTCGGGTCGCCGCAGATTCTGGCTGGCTCGGGTTACTGCAAGTGGTTTAATGTCCGCATGGGGTTTGGATTTATATCGATGACCAGCAGCGAGGGGAAGCCAGTGGACCCTCCACTAGACGTGTTCGTTCACCAAGTAAGTCCAATAATGCACGTGCTGGGTTTCAGCCGTTCAGCTCCTCTGACTCTTTTTCACGTTATATGTCGCATCTCATTGACATCAGCAGCAGATGTGCTCGAGGAAAGCAGAAGTAAACATGCGCTTGTGTTTTCATCCCCTGTCACTTTAAGAACGCCAAAAACGCATCTTCACTCTCCATTGATATCACCAGACGAGCGGCGTATTAGTAGTAAACACGGAGGTATTTACGATGCAGCTCTTAAAGGTACCTTTATTAGGAAGAGAAAAGAGAGAGTAGCCCGTGACATTGGTTTCTATTCGCCTCATGCTCACAGGAACATGTCTGATAAACCTGCCAACATGTCGGAAAATGTGTCACACGGAGCACACGATGATCAGACGGCGTTCACAGCCAGATTTTGAAGAATGGCAAGCGATTTCGGTGTGAACTGTTGTACTGAACATCATGTGCTCTCGTGTTTACATGGGTGTAGTTCAGCCCCCCTTTCACAATATTTCGTCTTCTTCTCATGGACATTCAGGGCTAAATCAATACGGACGCATGTACTAAACCGGAAATTATCTCCTTTCATCATTTGCCAGGCTTTCCACGGCACCTTAAAATAGCATACGCAGACTTAAAGAACAAAAGCAGAGGTTTCTTCTGAGTTCTATTAGCACTCAAGCTCACTGCACTGTTGTTTTGATGTCAGTTTTGCTGCTTTCTGTTACATTGTGTTCTTGTTATCCGGTGGTGATAATATTGTCAAGCAGTGTTATGTTTACTGCTGGATGTTAATGAGATGTTAAAGTGATTCCTGGGACTGGATAACACATCTGCATAATCCTTTAAATCTGAAATTCAATAACATAACAGCTAGTTTGCACAGGAAACAAGTGGCTATCCATCTATCCATCTATCCATCCATCTATCCATCTATCTATCCATCTATCTATCTATCCATCCATCTATCCATCCATCCATCTATCCATCTATCTATCTATCCATCCACCCATCCATCCATCCATCCATCTATCTATCCATCTATCTATCTAGTATTTTTTAAAGAATTTAAAACCGTGTAAATATCTCTAGTTATTAAAATCACAGTTGTGCAATCTTTTCTTGAATTCAACAATGTTTTAATAATCTTTTATTGTGATGTAACCAAATTACAATAGCTGAAAACCATTTTTAAGTAAAAGAGATTTTGCTTTATGTATTTATCTTGTGATTAGTGTTTTTATGGATATATTAGACAAATTGTTTTGTTTAAAAATAAAATTGTTGAACTAGGGTATCAAATTTGAATTAGCAGTGTGTACAGCTGATTATTCCCTTAGTGTGTGTCTAAACCTGATATTATGTATTAGAAACAGCATGTTTCGTTTGGCAGTACGCCACATTTCTTACAAACAAGAATGAACTGTGTGGTTTAGCACAATACATGTATGCATTTGGCAGACGCTTTTATCCAGATTGTTATTGTTTTTTATCAGTTCATACAACCATGGGAATTGAACCCATGACCTTAACGTAGCTATGCATTGCTGTTTGCGTAATGTCTGCCTAAGAAAATGTATTGATGTCTTTCCCCTTTATGAGGAATTTTCAGCCAAAACTGTTTTTGAGATATATATATATATTTTATTCTTTGCATATTTTATTATGTACATTGATCTGTAGGTGTTAAAAGAAGCGGATTACACAGAGTTATGATAAATTATTATAGCTATGAAGTTGTAATTATAAAAGTAGCTGAAATAAAAATTGTATGAATGAATCGGCATTGCATATGAATATGTAATCAGCATTATTTTATTAGTATTCAGTTGAAAACTGTTTTTGACTTGACTGCTGATTTAAATATTTTATTTAACATTTTATAATTTGATATTTTTAACATTTTAGAATTTTACTTTTCTATTAATGACAGCCAAAATAGTTAATATCATATCAAAGAAGTAATGTGAATTATTTGAGATAAAGTAGGTTATTGTTGTTTTTTAACTGATACCAGTTCCAGCACACTGACTATAATTTAAAATTGAATCTTTAAAATTTGTTTTATATTAAATTTGATGAAGCAGTCTTTCTTTCTGGTGCATGGTTTTTGAACCAAAAGTTGGCTACACTTTACTTTGAAGCACTTATAAAGTTATTCATAATGTAAATTATAATGTGTTATTTTTTAAAGTTAAATGTTAAAATGCATATAATATTTGCCTATTCCTTGTTACATCTGAAATTGGTCGTTTGTCATGTTCTAGTCCATTATACTTTCTAAGTGTGTGTAACAATGAATAGATAAGTATTAGAATTGTGTTTACAGTTAACATACAATGCATCATAAAGTGCTTTACAAGGCATAATTAATGCATTCAAATACTTTTTAAATGCATTATATATAAAGGCTTTAAGTAAAGTGTTACCGTTGTTACATTAGCCTCCTTTAATGCGACCAGTACATCGATACAGTATCCTCATTGAAACACAGCAGTGTTTCAGATCTCCTACAAATCCATGAGCTTTTTGTGTCAATCCAGGACAGGAAAAAGTGTGAGTCAGAAGAAAAGAGAACGCATGTGTGTGTGTGTGTTTTTGTTTGTATGTGTAAAGAGGATTTCTGTGTGTGTGTGTGGGGGGTGTGTGGTGGGGGTTGGGGTCCTCTAACATTCTTTAAAAGAGGAATTTCGTTAAAGACAAAAAAGGGAAAGGAGGCGTGGCTTTGGCCGGCCCTCACACTCTGAATCAACGCACTGCAGTGTGTGTGTGTTTCATTAGGAGCTTTGTGTTTGATTTTTCTGAATGCTGCACCTCCTGCAGTGTTTGTGCGTGTGTTAGTCTAACCGCACAAATGCATGTTGTTGTTTATAAATGTGTCGCTGTGTATGACTCGATCATTTCATGTGTTTCTATATACACTATTAAAAATAAAGGTTCTTTATTGGCTTTGATGGGTGTACAAGAACCTTTAACATCAATGAAACCTTTCCATTGCACAAAAAGTTCTTTAAAGTGGAAAAAGGTTTTTAAAATGTTAGGTAAAAATGGTTATTTTAAGAACCGTTTACTGAAAGGTTCTTTGGGGTTGTTCTTCTGAAATGGTATGATCAGTAAGTCATGGCAAGTTATATGAGATTCAACTAGGCGAGATTTTAAAAACTGAGTTGAAGTAACTCCTAGAGTCCGTTTGATGATACTTACAATTTTAAGGCAAAGACTGAAGTTTTAAATTTGAATTACTTTTTGCTTTGGTATTGTTGTTTTTGGAACCTTTATTTATTTATTTTGTTTGTGCAGTGAAGTTGTGCCTTTTATATCTGTTGCTCACTTTGCTATAGTTTGTGCACAAATTGATCTCCAGATGTGAACTAAATCTGACAAAATGTCATTTCCCTTTATGAGAAATGTTTAACAAAAACTGTTATTGATATAAATTGTTTTATCTTTATTACTTTGAATTTGAACATGTACATTTTATCTTGACCTCTATAGGTTGTTGGTTAAAAGTAGTCAATTACACTGAGCTACGATACCAGATTGTATTATAGCTCAAGAGGTTGTAATTGTAAAAACAAATACACTTAAAAAATAAAGGGTTTTGCACAGCAGTGCCATAGAAGAATCATTTTGGGTTCCCAAAAGAACCTTTCAGTGAACAGTCCTAAAAAGAACTGTTTTTTTTCTTAGCGTGAAGAACATTTTATTTTCACTTTAAAGAACCTTTGGAGTAATCTAAATGTTTCATGGATGTTAAAGGTTCTTCACGGAACCATCAATGCCAATAAAGAACCTTTATTTTTAAGTGTGTATAAAATAAAAATTGTATGAGTGAACTGACAGGTTGAAGTTCTTAAATATGTAATCAGTGTTTACACTTATTTCTCACTTTACTATAGCCTAAAGGCAAATTTATGTCTAGAAGTGTGCAAAATCTCCCTTTGAGGACAACTGAGGACAAGTTTAACTGGAAAAATGATTTGTAGTGTACATTATATTTTTTAATTCTAGAAATGCTGTTCTTTTAGGGATGGGTTCTGCGGTATGTCCTTATTTCCATAGCTAGTTAAATGTGTGTGTGTGTGTGAGTTGTGAGGTTTCTCTGGGCCCCTAGTGAGATTAAGCTCTCATCCAGACTCCTCCTCTCACTGCTGCACAGATCTCACTCCTCCTCTAACATACATGCTGCTCTCCTCATCCTGTGCTCCATCCCTTTGTTTTTTAACTGCTGATGCCAATACTGATATCTAGAGTGCAGGATGAATATATATGATAGCAGATGAGATGCACAGTTCCTCAAATTGGCACTTATTTTACACAGTAAATAATGAAAGCTGAAAATGTTTATTATGTGAAATCGACATTTTTAAACGGATTTAAGAAGAAACTAATACTAAGACTTCTTTAAATCAAGCAAGCTGACAAGTATCTTATATTATATATTGAAGTGTAAAATCTTTAATCTAAGACGGATAATTCAGGTTTACAATCACAGGATTATGAGACCTGTAGTGGATGCATACATTTATGCGCATTCCTGTTATGCAGAATGTGTGTGCTCTGTAACGTAAAAACTGAATACGTTTGTGTTGTCATTTAAGGAAGTTAAGGAAGCACTTTACACTATTAATTATAATTTGATTTACACAACGTTTGTGTACATGAGTGTGTCAATTGAAGTGAATTTAATATTTATTTTTTTATATTCTTTTAACATTTTTGTAGTTTATTAATAAAGACAAAATGTTTTAGTAATGCAAACCAACTAATAGCAGTAAAATCCCTTCTTAATACTTTTTTCATCTTGCCAGTTTTGTAAGTTAAAGGAATTTTACAAAAGGCTAACAGGACAGATTGTGATATTGAGAACTCGTGCAGAAAAAAAACTATATATTAATTGCTAATAAAAGCGGTTAGTAAACGAGAAATTTAGTTTGAAATGTTTTGATTAGAGAAACTAAAAATGCAGGAACAATTGGTAATGTTTTTATTTGTTTTAATGTTTTTAATTATTATTTTTGAAGTGTATAATGCACTGCAAAAATAATATCTGCTTAAACTAAGGTTTAGGCTATTTAAAATTCAATGTACTCCCAATTTAGTGTTAATAATAATACTGTATTTGTATGTATAGCAGTAAATGTAAATATATTTTAGTTTATTTACCATTCCCTGTTGTGATAGTAGTTGTGACAAAACATGATTTTTATCTTTAAAATGATTAGGTTTATACTGAGTTTAATATTTTATTTAGTATGTTAAGACCCATAATGAGGACATGAAATTACTGTATAACAGGAATGACCCAGAACATGTTATGAATGTAGTTATGTGCCTTAAATTCTTTCTCATTAGCTGCTGATGTCATTTTATCTTCTGCTGATCTTACTTTTATAGATTCTGTTTTCATCTAAACTTTAGTTCTGCTTTTACTTGAGCTTTCATTTTCAGTTTTCTCCATTATTGTCTTTAGTATTCTTTCTCACTCTCTCTACCTTGTTTTGTTCACTGTCATTTCTTTTCTTTTCTTCCAGAGCTCGATCTCTTCTGCATCCTGCTCTTTTATTCTCCATTTCTCCATTTGTTCAGTTCTTCATTTCTCCATCTCAACACAAGCTGCAGGTCACATGACTTCCTCCTTCAGCTCTGCCCATATATGGAGTGAGTGTGTGGGTGGAGCCAGCTACTGATCTGACACAAACAAAACAAAAGCTCACCGTCCAAGAGTTCCGTCACAGCTTTGTAGCACTGAAATCTAATGATTATAATTTTTTGTATATATTTAAAAAATTTTGCAGTGTATTTTTTTTATGTATTTTTTATTAACTAATTTTTTAATAATCTAATTTAATAATCGTATTAATGCTTGACTTGTTGATTAATGCTCACTGGTTGAATTGGTTCTTGAATGAAATAAAAAAAAAGCTCTGTTTATTATTATTTTGCTAGTTTAATTTTAGGACTTGATTTGTGGTCTCATAAGACATATCTATACTTGATTAAAATCACAAACTCATTAAATGAAGTGCCTTTTTTTAAGAAAACATCTGCCAAGAGCACAAATGTTAAATGTAAAAGTGAGTTCTGTTTAGAATGGTTTAAAATCTCAAGTCAAATGGTTTGGACAGATAAGAAAAAGGCAACATAAACCAGATACCAAAAGCTATGACTTCTTTTACTTTTTTAGACAGCTGTTTATGTTTGCTTTTTAAAAAATAACAAGCTTTCAGTAAAAGACAATACGTTTTATTATAATGAAGAAACACAAAAAGTAACAAAAAAATTCATGACAAACAAACATAAACTAGTTTTGATTCTGTTTCTGTTTGTTTTCTGTGCATATGTTTTTATTTTTAAGCTTCATCGTAATTCAAACAGACATAAACATAAAATCAACGTGAACGTCTAAATCGTCTCTTTGATGGAATTGTTTCAGTTCTTGTCAAATGTTTTGTAATTCTGTACGTTCACACTCATTTATAAACAATGTGATCATCCTCAAAGGCATTTTTAAAATGTAAAGTTAAAGGTAGTTCAATCAGAAGTAAGTTGACCGTGTGCACTTTACACACACACACACAGAGCTCATATCCGGCTGCTATCAGGAGTGTGTGTGGAGTGATGTAGTGTGTGTCAGCAGATCAAATACTGCGAGTGCGTCTTGTAGTCAGAGCAGAAGTGTGTTGTTAATTTAACGCAGGGAAACGGGATGCCTGTGTGTGTGTGTTTGAAGGGGGTTGGGCAGAGGTCAGAGGTCACAGTGAAGGATGAAAACATGTGGAGGAGGGGTGATGTGCGATACGTCCGGCCCTTTGGTGGCGCTCTCCGTATTTCTCCCTCCTGCTTTCTGTCTTCCGTCTCTTGAGTTTCTGCTTTTTTTCCCTGCAGTGAGCGGAACAATGTGACACACATCTTCTCCTGTGCTCATGGATTACGTTTCTTAATTGTGCTTTATTGGATGAGTTCAGACGTCAGAAATGTGTCTGCTGCTGCCTGATCTTCCTGCTTGCACTGCTTCTCTCTGAACTTTGACCTGGAAATAGAAACACACATTTGGTGTAGAAACCATTTTCACTCAGAAAGTGCTAGTAAAGAATTAATTACAAAGAATGAAGTAAAGCATTGAATCACACATATTTTAAAGTAGAAAGAGAAAAATACTATGTTCACGCAAAACAATTGATTTTAATAAAACATTTACTTACAATATTTTTTTCAAATATTTATAAATGGAAAGTGTTTACAGTTTATTTTCACACTACAGATCCAGATAGACAGATAGAAAGAAAAAAGAAAGGAAAACGATAGACAAAAAGAACGAAATAGACAGATAGATACAAAGAAAAAAGAAATAGCGTAAAAATAGATGAAAGAAAGAAAAATAGATAGAAAGAATGAAAATAAGAGAAAGATAGAAAGGAAAAAAGATAAAAAGAAAAATAGACAGAAAGAAAAAAGATAGACATACAGACAGAAAGAAAGAAAGAAATAGACAGATAGAAAGAAAAAAGAAATAGATGAAAAAATAGATGAAAGAAAGAAGATAGTAAGAAAGAAAGAAAAATAGACAGATAGAAAAAAAGAAAGAAAAAAGAAAGAAAGATAGAAAGAAAGGAAAAACGATAGACAGAAAGAAAGAAATAGACAGATAGAAAGAAAAATAAATAGAGTACAAATAGATGAAAGAAAGGAAATAGACAGAAAGAAAGGAAAAAATAAAAAGAAAGAAAAAATAAAGAGAGAAAAGATAGTCAATCTAACAGAAAAAAGACAGATGAAAGAAAGTAAAAGAAAAAAGAGACAGAAAGAACTAAAGGAAAAAATAGAAAGAAAAAGATAGACAGAAAGGAAAATAAAGATAGATGATAGATGAAAGACAGAAAAAAGAGAGAAAGAAAGAAAAAATAGAAAGAGAGAAAAAGAAAGAAAAAAACAAACAGACAGATAGAAAGAAAGAAAAGAAAGAAAACAGATAGACAGAAAGAAAAAGAAAGAAAAAAACAAACAGATAGATGGATTGAAAAAAGAAAGAGAAAAAAGATAGATTAAAGAAAGAAGAAAGATAGATGAAAGGAAGAGAAAGAAAAAGATAGATGAACACTGTAACATTGGACTAAAACCTGACAAATTTTTATTCTATGATTTGATAGATAATATTAATATATTAATATACAAAACAATATATTAATGTATAATAATATTAATGACTGATTCACAAATTTTGCTTCATTATTACTTACAGATAGAAATATATGTGTATTTATTATAAATGATATGTATTTGTTTCATTTATTTGTGTGTGTGTGTGTGTGTGTGTGTGTTTACCAAGCTCTAATCCTGTTAAGTGTGTTGAGCTGTTTAGATTGATATTCCAATAGAAAAGATCTAATATGTCTGCGTGTGAAGGGTTTTGCTCCTAGCTTTTCTCATACATGCACTTCTCTCTTATGCTCTGGATTTTTAATTTCTCGCCATCGCAAGTGTTCAATCAGAATGCTTTTTATGCCCATTATGTCAATTAAGAGAAATGAAATGCATTAATTTCCCACCCGGCTGAATTAAACGTGAAGCCGTGACAAAAAGCAATCAGTGAGAGCTGTGAAGGTGTGTTGACTGGGCATTTGATCATTCATCAGTCCAGATGTGAATTCAGTGCTGATATTCATATTGAACAGAGCTAGTGATGCGGCACTACTGATCTATTGATGTTTCTAGAGGAATGTAAATGATGAGAATACATGTCAGCTGCGCTTTGCCTCTTGCATTTGATTCATGCATTACGTTACTGCTGTTTTAATTTCATGAAGTAGCACTGCCTCTGTGACGAGACCATAGAGAGCTTTCTGTAGCTGCAGGATCGCATTCATTAGTATTCATGCATTTGAATCACAATCATGACTTAAATCACCGTTACGTGATGAAGTCGACTTGTTTGAATGTGTTGGTTTTGTGTTGGAAGGCTCTCAGTGTGCTTGTGGAAAATTGATTATTTATTAAATCACAAACAAATGCCTAAACATAGACACATATTCCGTATTTGTTGTGTTTTTGGCATAATCAAAAACTAGATCTTAGCTGTGTTTTGTAGTATTAATTGTATTTGAACAATAAATTCATCAGATCAGCTCTAATGTGTGATGAAACTATTTTCAAGAAACTCAATGCTAAATTGCAGATTCTGTGGTGATTTAATTGCATTTCACTGAAATGAACAGAATTCATTGCTTTTATCAGTCTTTGCTTTTCATTTATAATGACAGAAAATCTTATAAATTGAAGGATGGATTTGAATAAACTAATAAACACCTTGGTTGCGCTGTGTTGACTGTGAATAATACATTTGATAAGTTGCTTTTAATGGTCCTCATTTGGATAAAAGCATCTGCTGAATGATTAAATACAAATGTACATCTGTGGGTTTTTTGTCTGGCGTTCTGCTTTATGTAGAGGATTTTTGAATTCATTTTCACTCATTAAAAACTATGATTCACATTTGTTAAAATGTTATTTTGATGTAAAAGTTTACTTACGTCATATACATTATTTGTGTTACAAGTATTTGCAGTTATATTTGCTACCAAGCATCTTGTATGGCAGTGGATACAGTTCTCCTGAATATAAAAGCTGTGAACAAGAATATCAGAGTTATCAAATATTGTCAAATAACATACTGTATATATATTTTAGATTTTGTTGAATTATATTCTCTGTTGCTATGACTGGTCTGTTTTTTAAAATAAATATATATATATATATTTATAGATGATATAAATGTGTTTGTATATCTGTATTACATGAAGTGTGTGTGTGTTCAGAGTAAGCTGGTGATGGAGGGCTTCAGGAGCTTACGGGAGGGCGAGCAGGTTGAATTCACCTTCAAGAGGTCGAGTAAAGGTCTGGAGTCGCTCAGGGTCACGGGGCCCGGCGGGGGCCCATGCTCGGGCAGTGACCGACGCCCCAAAGGCAAGGCCCCGCCCCTCAAACGCAAACCAAAGGGAGACCGGTGAGTGCGCCGAGCATGATGGGATATGTAGTTTAATAAATTTTGTCTCGATTTCTCTGGACCAAACTGGATTATGTTCAGTTATTCACAATTCATATCGTGTTCTATTCATTCTGCATAAATTTAATAATAAATGTGTGCTAAAGTGAAGGTCAACTTTACAGTATATTCTTTCAATTTATAGCTTGCCTTTAGCAGCTGCTGCTGGTCTTTATAAACAAAAGTCTGCTTTTAATAATAATAATAATAATAATAATAGCAGTAGTATTAACCAGTGTTGTTTAATAGCAGCGATTCATTTAAATAATTGGAACTATTGGAAGATCTTAATTAGTAAAAACTCATTTAAAATCTTAATGAAATCAAAACCTAAAATACGTGCCAAACGTTTCTTGTGGTTTTCTTTCTGCAAATGTATAAAGACCATTTTAAGGGAATTATTGATCATCACTGAATGCTTACCTGATTATATTTTGTTGAATTTTTAAAGGTGTTTAATTATATTCATAATTGTGTGTGTGTGTGCATGCATGTTTAAAAGTAAAATAAATTGTTTACCCACAAAAATAGATGGAATCCATTAGGGCTGCACGATTATGACAAAAATCATAATTGTCGATTATTCCCTTGAAATTGTAATTGCGATTATTAATTACGATGATCACAATTTACATTGAATAATGTTTATACCATTGTTTGATGCAACTGCATACCGTATTTTTAAATGAAAATACACAAGCTGAAAACACTCGAACTGAAAAACATTTAGTGCTTTTCTATAGTATTAAGCCTCAAATGTCAACTACACATCGGATTGGTTTCTTCTTAAAATTATAAAAAAGTTCAAATATGAAGGGTATTATAATGTTATACTAAAATTAAAATAATTGGAAAAACCCTTAAGATAACATGTAGAAAGAAAAAAAAACATCTTAAGCGCGCAGAATAACAAGCTTTGAACAATTACGTAATTGTGGCATGCATAATTGTAATCGTGATTAGAAATTTGATTAATTGTGCAGCCCTAGAATCCATCTAAACGCTTAAAGAAATCCCTTTCTGTTAAGGTTTCGTTTGTTAACATCGCTTTATTACATTATGTAACATAAATGAACAATTAACAATTCTTCTACAGAATTTATTAATATTTAATAATGTTAATTAATTTTTCAGATCTATCTGTTAAACTTGCACTGTAAACTAACATGACCATGAGCATTTTTATTAACTAAAATGAACTAATGTTAATGAAATATATTTCTAATTGTTAATTGATGCTAGTGAATGCATTAACTAATGTTAACAATTGAGACCTTTATTGTAAACTGTTACCCAAATTAAGAAGGGTAACTTATTTTATTTTGTTTTAAATGTTTCTAATTCAAAATGTACCTATATTGCATAATAATATTAATAAATAGATATATAAAATAGAGCCGGGGAATTATATAATTACATGCTGCAGTTCCTTTATTTAAAATATTCCTTAATATAAACCATTTATTTATTTATGAATAATTTCATAGCTTATTTATGTAGGATTATTTATCTAAAATCTTTTATTTCGATCTTACACAAGCATTTTCATCAGACTCGCTGCTTTTGATTTGATGTAGACGTGTTTCGGGGTTCAAATTCTCTCCTTTTCTCTGTATGAAAGAATCAATTCCAGTATTGATAATGTCTGTGAAGCCACATGAATTACTTTTCAATGTAGACGGCTCATAGTTTGGTTTCGCCAAACGCTTTTCTGTTCACGACTCATTGATTGTGAGTCTGTCTTCTACTTCCGGTTGCCATGGTGATCAGAACGAAAAAATACAAACTGAATAAGTCTTTTCAGTCTGTTGTGTTAAAGCTATTTATAGGTATGTATATGCATGTGTGTGTGGGTGAGCCATTTATCATATAGTCCATGTGCTAACAAAAAACTAGACATGAGATGATGGAAGTTTTGTTGAAGATGACAGATCGGGTGACACTCTCAGACCTGAACCGATGATAAAAAATTAATTTATGAAGAATTCTTGAATCTGTTGGAATCTGAACAGGTATATTAGGACACCGCTTAAAGCGTAAAAATCAGTTTATTCCCTAAAGTCACTGAATAATTGAATTAAACATGGTAGCTAGCTAATCAATGACAGTGTACATTTAACTAAAAACTGTCAGACAGCTGATTTTATCTCAATAATTATCAGTGTTTTTGGCAGATACTGGAGATTTGCAGCTAAAAGTTCAAGATCATGTCATTATCATCTTAAATACATGAGTTGAATAAATCTTTAGTTTAGATTAGATTAAAGAATTTAGTTTAACGGTTCTTTGAATCTCGAGTCTGAATGTCATAAGAAAAATAATGGTGTAAATTTAACTACACAATCTTTAGATTTGATGTTAGTTCAAGATCATGTAATAATCGTCTTAAATACAAATAATTTAATTAATAGAAATCTTTAGATTAATAGTTACATGAGAGTAATTAATTGTTTAGTTTAACAGTTCTTTCTTTGTATGTAGAGTCTGAATGTCATCAGAAAATTACTAAACTTTTAGACATCTGATTTTATGTCAGTTTATCAGTTAAAATACAGAAATATTGCCTGTATTTTCAGTGAATACTGAAATGATATGTAGCTGCAAGTTCAAAAGCATGTAATAATTGTTTTAAATATAATTACGAGGTTAATAGAAATCTGTTTTTTTGTTTTTGTTTGCATCTAAAGTCTGGATGTGATAAGGAAAATTATACCGTCAAGATTTTCTTTCCACAGTTTTCATGTTTCAGTTTTTATGTTATGATATTAAAGGTAAAAAATGTACGCGTATGGTCATTTTCCATGAACATAGTGTTTTTAGATGTGAATGTGTGAGGAGTCAAAATGAGCAAAATGTCATTCATAAACATTTGTCAAGTTTGTTAGTCTAATATGCAGCGGTGATGCTGTAGTTGATCCACTCTGCCACCTACAGGCTCAAAACAGTCAGTGCACATACAGACAAATAGCATGTCTAGTCCAATTTAATCAATTATTTGTGTTTTTCAAGCAGTGGTTATTGTATGTTGGTTTCAAGCACCTAGTTTTAATATTTTATTTTAAGATGACGTAGTTACACACATTACATGTACTTACTATAGCAATAACAGTAAATTATGCATAATTACAACCAATTAACCCTAACCCTATATGTTATGCAGTTAATTAATATTACTCAGTTCTTATTTGTCTAATTACGCTGTAAAAACATCACCTTAAAATATATTGTAACCTATTAAAATAATTAGATCCCTCGTTTTTGTACACATATATTTTAATGCAGATATGCTGTGTAAGATGATTTACTTCATATAATCCTTCTAGTAACTATTTTTCTCCAAAATTAATATTTGTTGAATATTAAAAGAGCACTCATATGAGAGACATGTAACAGTTTTGTAAGAAGTAATTTGCCTTTGACAGTAGTCAGATGTAATTTGCCATTATTATATAAAAATACTATATATGACTGCAGAATGCTGTGATCGACCAATCAGAATGAAGTATTCCAGAGGGCAGTGTAATAATATCTCTCTCACTCACTCACTCACTCACTCACTCACTCACTCACTCACTCACTCACTCACTCACTCACTCACTCACTCACTCACTCACTCACTCACTCACTCACTCACTCACTCACTCACTCACTCACTCACTCACTCACTCACTCACTCACTCACTCACTCACTCACTCACTCACTCACTCACTCACTCACTCACTCACTCACTCACTCACTCACTCACTCACTCACTCACTCACTCACTCACTCACTCACTAACTCACTCACTCACACACACACAGGTTTGTTTTTATGGTTTATGGGGACTCTCCATAGGCGTAATGGTTTTTATACTGTACAGACCGTATATTCTATCGCCCTACACCAACCCTACCCCTAAACCTACCCCTCACAGGAAACTTTCTGCATTTTTAGATTTTCAAAAAAACTCATTCTGAATTATTTATAAGCCTTTTGAATTACGGGGACACTGAAAATGTCCTCATAAATCACCTTCTCGTTGTAATACCTGTGTCATACCCATGTTATTATACAAATTTGTGTCCTCATAAACCACATAAACATGCACACAGCCGATGGGGGTCATGCGTGTACATGCGTGTTCTAACTGAGCAATCACAACAAACTCTGCGACTGGCGTGTGTGTGTGTGTGTGTGTGTGTGTGTGTGTGTGTGTGTGCAAATGAGCGAGAGTGTGTTTGAAGTACTAAAAATCACAAGGCAAAACAGATTACAATTACAAACCTGAACCAGTGTTTTAAAAACTCAAGCATGAAGGCAACAGATGTTGCAGTTTGCAAGCCATTTTACCTCCATAATAGTGAAATGGGCTTTTGATTGAGTAAACATGTTTGCTGTGTGCTGCATAAGTGACGTCAGTGAACTCATTTCAGAGGAAAAGCAAGTTATCATGTTACCTTTGGGATAACATGCACAGATAAAATGTTCACGTTAAAGGAATAGTTCACCTAAAAATGAAAATCGGCTGAATATGTACCATCAGGCCATCCAAGATGTAGATGAGTTTGTTTCTTCATGGGAACAGATTTGGAGAAATGTAGCATTGCATCACTTGCTCACCAGTGGATCCTCTGCAGTGAATGGGTGCCGTCAGAATGAGAGTCCAAACAGCTGATAAAAACATCACAATAATTCACAAGTAATCCACACCACTCCAGTCCGTCAATGAATGTCTTGTGAAGTAAAAATCTGTGTTTTTGTAAGAAACAAATCCATCATTAAGACATTTTCAACGTCAAACCATTGCTCCCGGCTAAAATATGAGTCCTCTATTATTCCTCAATTATATTATTTCCTCCAGTGAAAAAGAGAGAAATTTTGAATTAAGAGAGAAATATGCACAGATCAAGCAAAAACAATCCTAAATGTTTCTAAACAAATATGTGGGTGGGTTTTTATGTGAGAGGACAACAGCGGAAGGA